CTCCTTCCTAATGGAGCTCATCATAATGATGACTCAACTGAAAACATGTAAGCTGAGCCATTAAAACTGTGCCTAAAACAACTGGAAGTTTTGTGTCCTCAAATAAACCAGTAACACAGAACACTAAGATTTCACCCATGGGATGTATTCAACCTGTTTTTTAAAGGCTTAATAATTACAGATTTGTGGAATATTAAGGAAATTCCAGTTAACACTCAGTCTTCTGCCAAATAATACTCCATCAGTAAAAAAAATATGGGCGCAATTCTGTTTTCATTTAAGCCAGCTGGAAATTTACCATGAACTTCAGTGGGGCCAAGGAAAGTCCATGATCATGTAAGTGGTTAAATAGCTTCAGTGAGCTTTGAATTTTCACCAGTGAATGAATTTGAGACAATTCCAAACAACCAAACAAATAATAAAAAGTGGATTTTTGACAAAATTAATGGCACAATAACTAAAATAATTGCTTTTCATGGGGTAAATTAAGAACTCTTATTATATTAATAGCAAACAAAATGTCTTTTACAAAACAACTGTTATGGATATCTTCTGAGGCAAACAAAAATTTGATAGGAAAAAAGAGTCAGTACATTATTCATAGGTGTACTGGTTGAATAAATTTATCTTCTTATTTTTGCCACATCTTTAACAGTTATGAACAAGTTTATTTTGTGTCTGCATTTGCAATAGAGCTCCACACTGCCAAAATCCCTATTGCTTTTGAGCGTTTGAAATACATTTATGTCCTTATGGATTACCAACAACCACATTTCTTTTTCTTTTAGCACTTATACACTGAACACTTCTCATTTTTTCTAGTACTGCTACTGCATATGTTACTTTTAGAAGGCAATTCTACCCATGGCATGCGCTGCTCTTACACTGTTACATTATTAGCACTTCATAATGATGTCTTACCATAACCTTAAATCACGTACCTTAACATATCTGGGTTTTGGAAATAATACTGAAGCTGTTACATTTCTGTCTACAAGCATTGGCATTCTTAAGCAACATACAGTTCAAGTACATTTTCGGTCTACTGATATGCTGCACTGGCTAAGAAATTTTGCTGATCTAATAAGGAGATGGGAACAACACTTGATGTCAGTGACCCATGAAGTCTCCATAGAAGTTTGACATATCAGAGAGATGACACTACGCTGAGAGAAGCCTCCTATTGGAGAAGTCGTAAAAGACAGCACACACATACACACACAATTTGTTCATCATAGCTTTTGTTCTTCTGTATTTTATAGATTGACACATTGTGTCAATTTAAAGACCATCTATGATCTTCATTAGGAAAGGAACATGGATTATTTTGCTGGGGCATGTCTTCCTGTGTTACATGAGTCTGCATGACAGTGGTTTTCATTCTGCACAGGAATACCTCCTCCTCTGCTTACAGAATAATGGTTATTTCATGTTATCCCAATATCTGTGTTGGATATTCAGCTGTGCTGGTGTTTTATCTCCAGTGAAGTTATCACTTTGAACCAAACCAGGATTCCTTTAATCAGTACAGTAAATTGAAATTCTGCTAGAAAGGAAACAAAGTGAAACCTTTAGGATTTGGCTGTGCTATTATACAAGAACTTCCAAATAAATGAGTCTGGTGCGCTTCAGGCAAACACGCCCCACCCCAAATAGGAAGGTGCTGGTGTATAATAAATTTTTAATTTTACATAAATGCTTATAACAAAATTTGTAATTTTACTACAAATTCAAATCTCAATGACAGTGTCACTGAAGTTAATGTGACTTGGACTGTTAATCTGAGTGAGAGTAAAACCGGCCCTTGTATTCTTTCTCTTGTTCTGCATTGAATACTGTTACCTAGGTTGACAGAGAACTTTGCCACAGGTAAGCTGCAAAACATGTAGCAACTGTTTATGTATCATTATGTATGTTTAAAATAATTCATACCTATAAAGATAGCTTTTTTCCCTAGCAGTTGCTCAAAAAGACATGAGTAGAAAAGGCCAATTAATAATGAAATAGTCCTACCGAAATGAAATGTTTTCATGTTTGAAAAACTGATAAAAGTAGATTTGTAGAATTTTTATCATGAACATACTATTGCTTTTTTACAGTACTTTGGAATACAAGTCATTCACAGTTGTCACTAAAATGGTAGACAAAGAAAGCCTGAAGTAGTAAGGAGGTCACACAGTATCCTATTTTTAATTCAGACATTTTTATAACTTAAAGATCTATTTAAAACTCAAAAAATAATGTGTGCTTAAAAAAAAAAAAAAAGAAGAACTATAGAACTATATTTTTCTAAGAATAAATACCGCTTTCACTTTTGGATTATGTCCTGTCCAGGTTGGAATCACAACTATTATTTGCTTGCATTAGAACAAAATGTTTCTGAATGTTTTCACTAGGTTTGTCATTACTATGAGAAAATAGCCCCACTCCCAACAATGCCAAGTACTACAATGAACAATACAAACACTCAGTGTCAGGTAAGTCTCCACCTGATCTCCTTCTCCTCTGGTTTACCTGGAACTTTCTAGTTTGCTTTGAAATTCACTCAGTAGAAGGTACGTTGACCGAACAAAACCTTCTAGTCAAGAAGTGGTGAAAAACAACATATGTACACAGTCTGTCTCTTTATCTCAACTAAATGAGAAATCCCTTCATTAAAAAAATTTGCTGGTAGAGACTAACTGGTACATAGGGATTGTAGTTAGACAATCAGCAGAGATTGATTCAGCTACACTGTAGAAACTTAGCTAAATACAGAATGATTTTTTTCAAGACAAGAAAAAAAGAAATCTGAAAATCAATCTATTAACACTGAGAATCATTAAAAAGAAGGCTGATTTGTTTAAGAGATCTGATAACCAGTGTTGATAAGGAGACAAAATTCATCTCCCAGAATATGCATGCTCACATAAGTTGCTTGATCTATGGAAGAATTCAAAAATCATCTTCTCCTTATGAGGGAAATTGAAAATTTATCTGCTCTGCTTGGTTTAATTGTCACCAGTAAACTTAATCACTGCAAACTTAATGTGCTCAGGAAAACTTATGATGGGATGATTAGCAAAATTCTTTCCAGAGGAACATGCTACAGTCAAGAATTAATCAGGAAACTGAGGGTACAACTTTGTAAGGTAATGTCCAAAAGTATTTGCACGGGAACAGGAGAAACAGTATCTGTAAACTATTTATATTTTTGAAGGTGTTACCTATTACTTGCCATAATGCATAGACAGATAATATATTATCTGTTATTTGTCAGAATACACATCTGATGATTAAGAAATGTGGGAATCAAAGACAGGCTTTAGGCAGAGTTGAGTCTATTTTTTCTTTATGTTTAGTTTCTGACTTCTTGGTTTCAGTGAACTTGTCATCTGTGATAAGCAAATGATGTCACAAACATTGCACAGTCACGGCTTTGGACCTCTCTTCAGCTGGGTCCTCAGCTGATTTGAGGAGTTATGCAGACTTCTGCAACTAATATTTCACCTTGCTGTCCACTCAGCTCTGGTAGCTGGTATTAAAAGACACATCTCAGTATCCCTTGAGAGACAGAAGAGCATTGTGAATTAATTAAACCTAGCAGTTCAATCTCTACAACCTTGCTACAAACTAATGAAATTACATGGTCAAGCAATGACAGACTTGGTGGTACACTTAAGCTCCTCTAACGTTAGTTTCAAACACCTAAGGTAACAAAAAGACACTTCAAGAAAGACTTGTTATTTAAAGTCTGATAAAATCTCAAATAAATGTAAAATTGTGATGTATTAATGTTTAGGTAAGTTGTACCATTACACGTCAGACAGTGGTGAAAAAAGTCAAAAGGTAAAAGATTATACACTTTCCTTTATTTGACCTTTGTTAATGTAAATCTTTGTTACAAGTTCTGTATTGATATAATTCTTAATAAAAATTTATTTAATTCGCAACGGATACTTTGTGCTGATTAGAAGGATTACCTTCTTTGCTGCTATTTATAACTCAGCTAATGATTTTTTTGGGGTGAATAGCTTCTTATTTATCTTCAGATTCTTTCCTTGACAGGGACAAAGTCAGGACAAAAAAGGTCTTCATTGCTTCTTTTTCTACAAGGCAGAAATTTGGGGCTGCTTTTCTTTCCACTCACCCAGTGTATGAGTCTCATATGTGTGGGTCATATTTTTCATATAACAGGTGTTCCCTGTAATTTTGTACATTACAGTAAAAAACCATTATCCATTACTCAGCTATTTTAAATACTAGTGTATTTCTAAAGAAACATCTGGTTTAAGATAGTGTATCACTATTCTGGTTTTATTAAAATACTCTTCTATGTAACTGCACTCCTATTTACAGTAGTTTCACTTTCAGGACAGCTGTGTTTTGGAATAGTTTTAAAATCAGATGAATCATCAGTTCTCCTGGGAAGCAGTGTTCTGCAATGAGCTGCTGGCTCTTTGCCCCATAGGCAGGCATCTTCTAATACAGTCATTAGGACAGTTCTTACCCCTCAGTCATATTACAAAAGTAACAAGTTCTTTTCAGTAACTTTACAAAGCCCATAAGACATGACATATCAAATCCTTCCTCTTTTACTTTAGGCAGTGAGGTTTCAACCTCTGATATAGATAGCTATTTGTAGGGTCACACATGCAAAGGAAAAGCGTCAGCCTTACATTTGATTACTGAGTGTGAGTTGTAGAGTGTGTCTGCCCTGTGTTAAACAAGCATGTGGAAATGTCTTCGATTACTTGGTGTAAAGGACTAGTGTTCCTGTCTCTGTAAGGGATGTATTATCATGTTTCTCTTAACCACTATAATATACTAAAATTACAATGAACCCATTTAGCTTTTACATATGAAAATATTTTCATAATGGCCATATTATGGCTATTCACAAATTTTTGGTAACAGTAGCAGTGACACATTTGTAACAGGATGTCCCAGTCCAATTCCAACAAATTAGAAAAACGTACAATGGAGACATGATACAAATTTAGCAGTAAAAGTCTACTTACCTTCATATGTCCCGCTTTCTAAGAGAGCACCACTTTTCTCCAATTCCATAAAATCTTCAACAGTAATGAAAATATAGTCCACACCAGGAACTTCCCCCTCCTTATGTGGCCTTGTGGTGCCTATTAATAAGATGAAAGACACACTGTCAAGCACATGGCCTAAATATGGAATGATCTTTTTGAAATATTTGGAAAATTTACAAAGTAAACCATTTACAGAATATATTATGTAGCTCTTTCAAAACAGTATAGCTACGTTTGTTGAAGCTGACAGAGCCATATGAGATGTACGTTTATGATCATGCCAATCATTACTTGGATCCATAGCATTTCTCCTCACTAATGAAAACCTGTCATACTGTTGTTCTTCTTACATCACTAGAAAGGCCCTCAGTGACATTAGGCATTCAGAGGTAACATGAAACATAGTCTTGTCTACAATTAATCAACTTTATGATATTTTAGATGTTTATGTAGTATACAAAGTAATAATTCTATAAGTAAATCTCTAAGGGTTATATCCACATTACTTGTTTCAGAGCTGTAAGTGGACTTGGCAAATGCTTAGGATTTAGGGCCTGTGGGATTAAAATCACCTGCTAATCATGCTGTCAAACTGCAAAGGTGTTTATATTTAGTTATTGCCTCTATTGTCATCTCTGGATGACAGAACTCTGTAAATGCTGACAGTCAATATTTCACACATGCTGAGAAGTGACTTGGCTGAGTTAGCAGAAATTATGGGATACAGAAGGGATGTTAGAAGGGAAGCATCTGAAACCGACCTATTTCCTAATGGTCTACTCTATCATTGTCAGGCTATCTCTGCTTTCATTGAAACCACTAAATAAGTCTCAAAAGTCCATTTGGAAATGAGAGATTTTTAGGTTCTCCTCAGTCTCAGAGTGTTTGAAACATCTTAGTCAATCAATTCTTTATCAATACTGTACTGATTAAATCACATGCAGGGTTTGGTTTAAAGACTAGACAGTGGCTAGAAATCAGATCTTCCACTTTCTGGACAAAAGTTTAACATTATGATAATTGTGCAAAAGACATTGTCTCTTCCTCAATTACTAATCCACCACCTTAAACATTGTATTGTAACTCTCCATTGCATTGCCCTAAATGCACAGAATTTTTCTTTGCATTGACCAAATGCAGTTGTCCTAATCTCATATTGAATCCCACTCTATATCTAGATCTAATGGAGACCTCTGTGCCACAGAGAATACATTAGCAGTGCCAAGGTTCTCTCAGTATCAATGACAGGATTCCTGTGCTATCAGTAATTCCCACTGGCCAGCGCTCAGCTTTGCCAAAGCACTGGGTGGCCCTCAGAGCTGTCCAGCCTCCTTGCTGCTAGTTGGACACACAGAGACATAAAAGTGCCTTAGATAGGTTAACTCAAATGCTTGCCATAGAGACATTTTTCTTCTCACAGATAGTCTGAATATCTATGGCAAGGACTGAATGGGCCTGTGAAGTTAGTATTTTGGTAGCTAACATGGGAATGTATTTTGATAAGTCTGTAAGACTCTCCCTAATTTCTCTGATTCCTACTCCCTTCTCATCTCAACATTTAAAATGAAAACTCATATGGCTGTTCATTTCTGTGAATTTTGTATTTGCAGAAATGGGTGCTTTAGGATTATTACCTGGAGTACTGTGCTCCTCTGCAGTACTGTGAGCAGTTCTGGGCAGTTTTAGGTTCAAGTACCTGGGCAGCACAAGAGAGGTGTGGAGCTCCTGGAGTGAGTGCAATGGAAGATAACAAGAATGACTGGGGGACTGGAGAATCCCTCTTATGAGGAAGGGCTGAGGGAGTTTGGTGTGTTCAGCCTTGAGAGGAGATGACTGAGAGGGGAGTTCATTATGTGTATAGATATCTGAAAGGGGGATGCCAAGAGCGTGGTCCAGGCTCTCCTCAGTGGTACCAACCACTAGGACATGAGGCAATGAGCAGAAACTGATGCACAGGAAGTTCCACTTGAACATGAGGAAGAAGTTCTTTACTGTGTGAGTGACCACATACTGGAACAGATTGACCTTTGTCATGGAGTCTCTCTCCCTGAAAATATTCATAAACCATCTGGATGCAATCCTTTTCCATGTGCTCTAGGAGGACTCTGCCTGAGCAGGCAGGTTGGACCAGATGACCCACTGTGGTCCCTTCCAACCTGACCCATTCTGTGAATCTGTGATTCTGTGATTACTACTATGTTTCAGAGATGGTGTGGTTAAAGCACTCAGACACTTGTCCATAAACATCCTGAATTTACTTCCTATGGATCATCTGACCCCTGGCGATGCAGCAGCATCCCCAGTGATCTTCAGCCCTTTGAGAGAACTGTGTAGAAGCACAGGGATTCTGCTGAACCCCTGAACTCCTGGGAGCTCTGCTAACAGCACAGACATCACATGTTTGATCTGCATGCTCTCTCCTGAGAAAATTTTCACTCTCAAAGTGAAAAATTCCTATTGACAGGAACTGTATCTTACTCATAAAACACTTCAGCAAACCAAGGCTGTGCTATTCCCAGACATGGGACAGGAAAGAAGCTGGCATATTAGATTGTGGGAGGCGTGTCTGGGGGCACAGGGGATGTGCCCAGGTGCAGAGCCCAAGGAGCATGCCCCAGAACTAGTAAACTGGTTGGTTAAGAAAGTCACATGACATGTAAGGATAAAAGCGAGCGCGAGTTTTGAATAAATCCTCTTCGACCACACCATCGCATGAGAGCATCATTATTCCTTGTTATACAAGGGCCATGCCGTTACATTAGATGAGTATCTCTAGTTTACTGTTTCTCCAATATTTTTTTAGGTAGCCAAACTAGGATCATCAGAAGTTTATCCATCAGACAAAAACACAAGTTACACAAAATGTGGAGGTAAGCCCTGCTTTGAGTGGAAAGTTGGACCAGATGATCTAGTGTGCTCCCTCACAATCTAAATTTTCAATTATTTTATGCTATTACGTGTTACTACACTGTAATTTGTTTTAAACACATAGATATTCAGCAGTCATTCATGAGGGATGATTGCAAAATTGCAAAATTTGGTCACCTATACCTGCTACATCTATCCTACAATGCCAGGAGATAACACTGTCATGGTAACATGGAAGGTTCTGCCTCTTTTCTCATAATCCTCAGGGAATCTGCTCCAAGAGCTCTGCACTGTATTGTATACTGAGGGTTGTACATCTATTAGAGGTGGAATAGTCACTTTCTTCAAAAAACAGAAAAAAGAGCAAACCATGACCATTAGTTGCCTGAGTTCAGGGTGACTCTTACCCCAGGTACAGCAGTTTGTTTCCATCCCCAGCAGAACTTTATTCCTCTAGATAAAATCTTACTGAGTCCCATTTCCCTCCTGCATCTGTTCTCATTCCCTCAGCCTGGGAGATCTGAGATTTTGGAAATGGTTAAAGCAATTCCCTGGCTAATGGAATAATCAATGGTTATTGCCTCTTTTACTCCTTTGCCCTGGAGGAACTGAGTTCTTGCTAATAATACTTCTATCATCCTTTATAGTCTTCTGTAAACACCATAGAGTTTGTAATGTGCAGATTTACAGACTTGGACACAGTTACTAGAGCATCTTAAACACCCGTCAAGGTCTGAACATTGAGATCTATATATTGAAATCTTATAGATCATAGGCAAAATTTCTTTTTCCTTGCTTTTAACCTAATGTAGAGTTACACTTCTTAATAGATTTTGTCTTTAACTACATTCATATAGACAGAAAAACAGACATGAAACCTATGGTGATTCAAGACTTAAAACAAAGGATTAATTCCAAGCCTCATATTTCTACAGAAACACAACACCTCTTGTTATGCAGTATCAAGGCTTAATAGGACACACTTTGCTACTGTGTACAATACTAAGCCTTTTATTACTGTAAAATAAAAATAGGAACACAGTTACCATTTTGTTACCATGGTAACCTATGAAAAAATAATCTTTGAATTCCATAATAAAAGAACACGATACTTTTAGATTTTTTCAGGATCAAAACCAGCAAAAGATATTTGCACTATGCGTAATTATGACAAATGTAATCTATTGTTGCTGTGGAAGACACAAAATGAGTAGCTTGCAAGTAACCATGACCAGTCCACTCAAGCAAGTGCTGTCACACAACGTGAAGGTATCTCAGAAATTAAAGGATCTTGGTCTGCAAAATCTGGACTGATCTTGACCTTTGATTTCATGACTATTACTTGCATCATTCACCAATCTGCTCTCAAAACCAATATTAAGGTCATTCAGTGAGCCACCACTTTGTTTGGATTTATAGCTTCAAGACGGATAGCTTGTACAGTTTAGAAATATTTAATCTATATTGTCTATCTTCTTTTTATTATTATTTTTTAAAAAGACCCTTTGCCTTTGCAGTTTGTTTCTTCTGTTCTATAGGGGAAATATGGTGATTCACTATACTTCAGTGCAGGCTTTCCATGCTCACTGTTGTGTTATATGATGGTACTATATTCCAGGAGAGGAATTAGGTGCTGTTTACATAAATAGTCTTTGAAAGAGTGTTTTCCTTTTAACTGAGTTTAGGGCACCTGAGGGTATATAGACACCTAAGAAATCTTTACAATGAATGAAAAAAAGTGTGTGTTAATTTCATAGCAATAAACTATTTTTGAAATACTGCTTATATGATTATGGGGAACAATAAATAACATGGAATTTTTATGTTGACTGCTAGTGCAGATTGGAGAAATGATCAGTTCATGTAGTGTTCAGACAAGATTCCCATTATGAGTAAAAAAGTATAGAATTATTGATTCTAGAAGAGCTCTGGGGTTGGAAAGCTCCACACCACTTTGTACAGGTAGAACAACTAGGAATTTACATGTCTCTTTTTAATCTCAGGATCCAATTACAGATTTACAATATTTTAGTGCTTATTTGGGAACAAGGTGCACAGTTTGACTTTGAAAATATTTCTTCTTAGAAGCACTGAGCCTTCCTAGTTTCTGTCCAGCTCTGCTACTTTCAAAAACAGGAAAGGTACTCCCTCAATATTTCTTTTGTTGCTAACTCCATGTAGTTATGAAAAAGAGGTAAATTATTTTATTTGTCAGCATAGGAGTATAA